CTCTTCCTCCTCCTCCTCCTGCTCCTCCTCCTCCTCCTCCTCCTCCTCCTCCGTCTCCTCCTCCTCATTCCTCCTCTTCCTCCTCCTCCTCATCGCTCCTCCTCCTCCTCCTCCTCCTCCTCCTCCTCTTCCTCCTCCTCGTCCTCCTCCTCCCTCTCCGCCTCCATGCTTCCTGCTTGGCTAGCTCACGGGCCCCACGTCTTCGACGATTTTCGGGCCATTGTGCTTGTCTCACCCACCCCGCTGTCGCTGTCGTCATCCGCTGCTGCCCCGCGGAAAAAAACAGTGTGCCGTTCATTTGCGGCGTGCTGGGCGCCGGCGTGAACGTGTTCGTCGGCGAGACCATAGAAGGGCATTCTCGTCGCGGCGGCCCCCGACAATTTGAATGGGTAGGGTGGCGAGTTCTTCGAGTTCCAACTGCAGGACTTCTCTGTCTTATCTGTGGCGGACTACTCCAAGACGGGCGACGTCCCTCCAGTGATGGCAGCACCGCTGGCCGCACCTGCACCAAGTGCGCGCGCGGCTGGCCACTCTCTCATGCACTTGCTCAGTGACCTAGTTTGCGAGATCTGCCAGCGAACCTAGATCGCCAGGGCGCTGGCCTCTCGGGGCGCGGCTGGCGATGGCGATGGCGAAGAGAAGCAGGTGGCCGCGAAGTGCGGCGAGTGGATCCATTGCGACCAAGTCGGTCCCATGGTGCCGAGCCTGCGCGACGAGGTGCATGCTGGTGCGACGCGGGGGTCTGCGCCGCAGATTGCTCAGCCGCCCGTGAACCTCACGTGGAGACGTCTGTGGAGACGGCGCATGGGTTTGACGACGCGTGCTCGTCAACGACCGCGAGGGCCGTTCGCGCGGACAACGGCGGGGAGATCGCCAGCGGGCTTCGCGTGATGTTGGAAGTGCGCCGCGCCCAGAACGGGCGCAGCCTTCCGCGGCGTCCACGGGCGACCTCTCGTGCCGAGGGTTCCCGTCGGGCTATGTCCGAGGGCATGCGGTGCTTGATGTTGGCGACGGGCGTGCCTTGCGCTTTCTACTTGTCCAGCGGCGGGGCCTTCGCCGCGCGAGCGGCGGTTCGGCAGGATGTGCGACGTGTCCATGGCCCGCCCGTTCGGCTCAGCGTGCTTCTTCCTCGAGGACCGCGACCGCTTGGAAGAGGTGGAGGCCGGGGGCGGACTCGGCGTCGTATTGGTCGCGCTAGGGGCGCGAAGTTCCCCGCGGCAGTCCGGTGCCGTTCAGTGGAGGCGGAGACCGAGAAACCAGATGTGTTTTATTGGGTCGAGCCTTTGCTCGTCGACCCAGTCGCAGGCCTCGCAGCTGCGCAGGCTTCCGTGCTCGGTGGGCGGCGCCGTCGGGGTATGACGAATGGCTTTCCGCGCGCGCGATGCTTGGGGCGCGCGTCCATGGTCGTCGTTTCACCGGCGGCTGCCGACGTCGGTCCTCCAGCTGACGGCGGCGGCCCGCCAGGTCCCCCTGGCGACGGGGGCGGCGCTCCGCCCGACGACGCTTTTGACCGCCCTGGGGGCGATGGCGCCCAGACGCCACCGCCGCCCCGACGTCCGCGATGGAGGCGAGGCGCTCTCGGCGGAGTCGGAGGTGGGCACCGTGGATATGGTTCAAATTTTGATCCAACATAAGATTAGACTGGCCTAGGGCCAGCGCGACTGGACTTGGATTCGGCAGCACCCAAGACGCCTTTCCATCTTTGTAGACACGTTCGCCGGCGGACTGATTCAGTCCCTTCTGCGTCAGTACCGGCTCACAAGTACCACGTGCTCGATTTTCAACGGCTACGGCGAGAGTGGGGGCCACGACACGGGCGGTGCATCTTCGAGGGCTGGTCCTGCTGCTGGGGGCGTTGTGCATGCGTCGCGTTACCTCGGTTTGGTCACGTTCAGCATCGAGCCGCAAAATTGGCGTTACGATTCCAAGCGTGCAAAAGAGGCCGCGGCAGTCGAATTCAAATCCCTCACAGGCACTAAGGCGTGGGATCTCGAGAGCGTGGCCGAGTGGGACGACGTCCGCGCCATGGACAAGCATGCAGGAGCTGTGGTAAGGTGTTGATTGGCAACAAAAACTACGAGCTCATGGGCTGGGCCGATGCGGAGCAGCACGGTGCCCCGCTGCTGGAAGATGCTACGTGCAAGGCCCAGTGTGTATGTGCGAGCAACCATAGCGTTGCTGCTGATGGCCATAAGGTTTGGAGGTGTAAAGTCTGTGCGCAGCTCCCGTTCGTCTTCGCGATGCTCAGTTGGTAGTCTTGTACGGCGCCGCTGCCGGCATTGTTAGCAGCGTATTTACAAGCAGCCCTTCAGGAGTCGTGGGTCACGAAGTGCTTTGAGCCCACGGCTGTGGGATCCCACGGCGAATGGCCTTTCTGGTACCTAGTTCCTTCAGGGCAATCCCTGAACCGCAGTCTTCACGGATTTTGATGATGCTGCTGCTGCTGCTGATGATGATGATGATGATGATGATGATGCTGTTGCTAATGATGATGGTGATGCTGATGACACTGATGCTGATGATTATGAAGGTGAAGGTGCTGATGCTGACGATGAATGATGACGGATGATGTTGATGCGCAATGATGATGGTGATGGTGAGGATGATGATGATACTGCTGCTGCTGATGCTGATGATGGTGATGGTGGTGATGATGGTGGTGCTGATGCTGCTGATGCTGATGCTGTTGCTGTTGGTGATGATGGTGATGGTGATGGTGATGTTGTTGGTGATGGCGGTGATGATGCTGATGATGATGACGATGATGAGGATGTGGAAGAGGATGATGATGCTGCTGCTGATGATGATGATGATGGTTCTGATGATGATGATGATGATGATGATGATGATGATGATGATGATGATGATGATGATGATGATGATGATGATGATGTGGAAGATGAGGACGAGGCGGAGCAGGATAACGGGGAGGAGCAAGAGGAGGAGGAGGAGGAGGAGGAGGAGGAGGAGGAGGAGAGGAGGAGGAGGAGGATGGGGAGGAGGAGGCGGAGGGGAGGGGGAAGGAGGAGGGAGGAGTAGGAGGAGAGGAGGAGAGGAGGAGGGGTGGAAGTTGAGTAGAGTGGGAAGAAGGAAGGGGAGTTGGAGGAGGAGGAAAAGGAGGAGGAGGAGGTCGAGGAGGACGGGGATTTAGAAATTTGAATTTGAATTGGAATTGGACTTTGAATTGGAATTGGAATTGGAGGAGGAGGAGGAGGAGGAGGACGAGGAGGAGGAGGAGGAGGAGGAGGAGGAGGAGGAGGATGAGGAGGAGGAGGAGGAGGAGGACTCTGAGGACTCTGAGGATTCTGAGGACTCTGACGATGCGGGGCAAGTCTCTACCCCCTGGCACACAGGCCGAGCAGGAGGCTAGCCATTGCTATCCTCCAGCGGTGCTGGGCCAATCCCAGCGTAAGCTACTGGCAGGCTGGCCGCTACGACTCCTGCTCCCTGAGGCCAGCAGGAACAATGGCGGGTAGCCCACACCGCCGCACGAGCCCACGGCTCGGCGGAAGATATAGAGTTTTCCGAGCAGCGCCCGGCAGCGGCGACCCGCCACGAGCGGAAAACTGGCCCAGAGGCCAAAACGAGGCGAAACCAGCAGAGACGACGAGAGGACAGGCGACGAAAAACCAGACCAGCAACCGACGCGACCGACGGTCAACTTAGGCGCCCGTCACCTGCCTCAGGACCCTTACAGAGAGGCTCCGCCACTTGAGGCGCCCTCCACGCCCCCCTCAAAACTTGGCCATCACGATGGCGATTTGCCGAAACGATTCCCGGCCTTGGTCTGCTTCTTCTGGCGGGTCTTGTTCATCACAACGCCCTTTCGTTGACGACTTTGCCGAAACGATTCCCAGCCTTGGTCGCCTTCTCCTGGCGGATCATCACAACGCTCTTCACGATAACGAATTTGCCCAAACGATTCCCAGCCTTCGTCGCCTTCTTTGGCGGGTCTTGATCAACACAACGCCCTTCACGATTGCGGCCTTGCCGAAACGATTCCTGGCCTTGGTCGCCTTCTTCTGGCGGGCCTTGACCAGGCCGACGCCACCATGGCCCGCCGCGCGGCTCGGGCGCGCTGCGCCCCTCTCAAGTGCGCGCGCCCAACCTTCTCGAGGGATGAGGGGCTTGAGCCAAAATGGCTACGGAGGAGGAGGAGGAGGAGGAGAAGGAGGAGGAGGAGGAGCAGGAGCAGGAGCAGGAGGAGCAGGAGGAGGAGGAGGAGGAGGAGGAGGAGCAGGAGCAGGAGCAGGAGGAGCAGGAGGAGCAGGAGGAGCAGGAGGAGCAGGAGGAGCAGGAAGAGTATAATGAGCAAGAGGGAAAGAGGAATTTTGCATGAGAAAAGGGGGCGGGTACGAGGAGGATGGAAGGGCGAGTGGAAGGAATAACACGGCGAACGGGAACTGCAGGATAATGAAGAGGATCTTGGGGAGGAGGTCTTTGCGAGTCTCGGTACGAATGGCGTGTGCCCACAGTTACTCGTGTCATTGATCGTCGCCCTCTTTCCCAATGTCGAGCCGACGCGCACTGTGGGCGATCGACCGAGAATGCTTCCTGGAGCGCGAGGCCCAGAGGGTGTTTTCCTGTGTGCGAGTTTTGCAGCATGGCGAACATGTAGAACGTGTAGTGTGTAGGGGCGTCAGGCCGTGGTCCAATTGATCGGCTTCAGGTCTAAGCCAAGGAACCACGCCCCCCCCGCGAGACCCCTGACTCCTCAGCCGATGGCACCTCGTTCTTCGCCTCTACCGCTGTGCTGCCGCGCGAAAGGACCCAACTCTAGTTTTTCGCTGTTCCTCCGTTTGTGAGCGTCTTGGTTTCCCACGAAGGGTCGGCGGACCGATACTCTGGGCAATAGGCGGGGCATACCAAGCGACCTTGCACAACTCGCGATGTCAGTGTCCGATTTACCATATGGGGGACCGCACCCAATCGTTTGTTTTGTGAATGCTCGAATGATGCGGGCGGGTTCGATCGGTTGGCAGCGTCGCATGGGTGCCCAGGCTGTTTGACGACTTTATTTACGTGGTCATCCGCTTCTTTTTCGGCGGCCTTTTGAATTCAAGGCCTCAGGGATGACTCGAACGGTGGAGTTTGCAAGGGAAGCCCATGAGGCAACGGAGCCCGCCGAGCAAGCAAATTCAATGGACAGGGGAAGAATGATGCTCATTGGGCGCGGGGCCACATAGGCGTCAGTGGCTTCTGGAAGGTGACTACCCAAAGTGTTGATTCTCTTCCTCCGTTTCCACCTTCTCACTCCTCCCCCCTCATCTTCTGCATCCGTTTTCTACTCATGCACTCCCTCACACCGTGGGCCACAAGGGGCATCCAATGACCCTCCTTTTGCGGTGGCGCTGTTCGGCCCCCGAGATCATTTTCCTCGACACGCTTAGCGTGGTGCCCTGGAGAAATCGGTGACACGCGTTGCCTGGTGGGTATCGCTCAGCATTCGAGGAGGGGGCGGGGACGTGGAGCGAGAGTGTGAGGAGGGGGATGGCGGTGGTGGTGATGACGATAATGGGGAGAATATTGATGGTGGGAAGAGGGAAGAGGATAAGACAAGGAGATGGAGAAGGATAACGAAATACAGCAGGAGAAGCCTCCGGAGAAGGTCGCGGAGCTGGAGGAGGAGGTGTAGGGTGCGAAGGAGGAGGAGGAGGAGGAGGAGGAGGAGGAGGAGGAGGAGAAGGAGGAGGAGGAGGAGGAGGAGGAGGAGGAGGAGGAGCATGCCGAGGCAGAGCACATGGGATTGCAAATCCCCGGGTGGTGGATCTCACAGCCAGCCCCGGGGGGCTGTCGGCAGAGCCAGGCTGGCAGGAGGCACGGACGGCTCAACGAGCCCAACCAGCCACCCCGCAACCCCAGCCAACACGCCACCCCGCCAACCCGCCCACCCCCGCCGCCTGCCCTCCGTCACCGTCGAGAGGGGGGGGAAGTGTTTCTTACAAGCGAAAACCACAAAAATCACCCTCTCGGGGTCCGGCGGCACAGTGGGGGGAGGGGAAATCGCACCGTACTATGGGGGAGGGGGATTCGCGCCCGAGGTGCCCAAGGACGACTTGGGGCCTCAAGTGCGACACTGTCGTCACTTTATTACCTTTCACCGCGCTCCCCTTCTCAACGGAAGGGCTCCCATCCGTGAAACTGTCGTCAGTTTTCAGCCCCCGCGAGAGGCTTCTTAGAGGACCCCAGAGGCTCCAGGAGGGCCCATGGCGGCCCCGGGAGTGCCTAGGAGATCTCCGGAGGGCCCCAGGAGGACCCACTCTGCACCGCGCCCCCCTTCTCAACGGAAAGGCCCCCATGCGTGAAATTATTTTCAGCATTCCGCCCCCGCGAGAGAGTTCTTAGAGGGCCCACGGAGGCACCAGAAGGGCCCATGGCGGCCCCGGGAGAGCCCACGAGATCTCAAGAGCCCCCCGGAGGACCCATTTTGAATTACACCCAGGGAGCTCCAGAGGGCCCACGAGGCTCCAAGAGGCCCCAAGAGGCCCCGAAGAGCCCAGCACGCTCTAGGAGAGCCAAGGCGACACCAACAGGCTCCAGGACGGGCGTCATTCCCTCTCCTCCTCCTGCTCGTCGTCGTCATCCTTCTCTTCATCCGTCCTGCTTCAAATCCTTCCTCCCCCTCTTCCTCCTCCTCCTCCTCCGCCTCCTCCTCTTCTTCTTCCTCCTCCTCCTCCTACTACTACTACTACCACTACGACTAACTACTACTACTACTACTACTACTACTACTACTACTACTACTACTACTACTACTACTACTACTACTACTACTACTACTACTACTACTACTACTACTACTACTACTACTACTGTACTACTACTACTACTACTACTACTACTACTACTAACTACTACTACTAACTACTACTACTACTACTACTACTACTACTACTACTACTACTACTACTACTACTACTACTACTACGACTTACTTACTACTACTACTACTACTACTACTACTACACTACTACTACTACTACTACTACTACTACTACTACTACTTACTACTACTACTACTACTACTACTAACTACTACTACTACTACTACTACTACTCCTACACTACTACTACTACTACTACTACTACTACTACTACTACTACTACTACTACTACTACGTAGCCTCGATGGCTCCGATAGCGCCGTGCGCGAGATCCGCCTCCTCCCCATCCGTCCTCCTCCCTCCTCCCTCCTCCTTCCCTCCTCCCTCCTCCCTCCTCCTTGCTCCCTCCTCCCCTCTCTCGGGAGCGTCGCAAAGAGGCCCTCCGAGGATAATTTTGCGACAAGAAGGGCGCCGACGTGATGAACAGACACCACGTCGGGGCTCTGGGAACGGAGTCGAATACGAAACCTCGAATAACTTAGTATTCGATGTTCTGGGCATTTTTCTGACCACCTGCGAGCCTCGTGGGAACTTCCGAGAGCCTCAGGGGTGGACGTCTGGCGCAAGAACACGAGTGGAGGAGGAGACAACACGACGCTCCACGGAGTAAACTGCGCCCAGTTGCTTTCTACCCCCGTGAGGGTCGTTACAGGGTAGTAGTAGCAGTCGTAGTAATTGCGCTCGCTCCGAACGAGGGTGGGCCCCATCTTTTTGTCTCCTCTGCCGCGTCCTCTCCCTGGACGGGTTGATTCAACCTCTGTGCCTTTATCCCCTTCTTGAGTTTCTTGTGGGGGATCGGCCAACCCCTGCCAGCTTGGCGCATAGCCTTTCCAGTCTCCCCCATCTCGTCCGCTGCTGTTTGGGTCGCGCGGCTGAGCGACACCATGGCACCGAAGCTCTCGAAGCCCGCGGCGATGCCCTGGCCAGCGACGACTCGCCCGGCCTCCTCGAGCCGCGACCCCGTGCCGCTGCGCGAGGCTCCCAGCGCCAAGGCCGAGGGTAAAGCGGACGCCAGGGCTAAAGCTACAGCTGAAGTTCCAGAGAAGCAGATGGAACCACAGTCGGAAACCGATGCGATGGCGGCCGCGATGGAAAAGGGGTCACCGATGGTGCGAGCGTGTGCGTTGACCCGTCCAGCAAGGGCGCGCCGCGAGCCGCGGAGGAGGTCGCAACGGAGGTGGGGCGCCCGATGGCGGTGGTTGAGGAATCGGGGCAGCCCCGTGAGCCTCGCCTTGACCAGGCGGTGGACCTCTCTGAGAGCGACATCTCGGAAGAGGAGTTCGTGCGCGTTCCTGAGGGCTCAGCCCCCGTGCCCGAACCGAAGAGCGACTCGGGGGAGCCCGCTGCCGAGGGGCGGGGAGGTGCGGGGGCAGCCCCCAGTGCCTCTCCGCCCAGCCTCCGTGCCCGCAAGGCACTCCGTGGCAGCCGTCCAGGCCGCGTTGAGCGCGGTGCCGTACGCGGGCCTCTCCGAGGACCAGAAGTGCGGACTGGACATGCTGACAACGGCGCTTCAAGCCATGCAGCCGCGGGGGCAGGTGGGCAGGTGCCGCGTCGGGGGCCCGCGGCGATCCAGGCGTAGCCACCGCTGCCGTGGGCGGCAGTGAGACATGCAGTAACGCGCCGAGCGTGGCAGCAACGGAAGGGGCAGGGCGGGGTCCCAAAAGGAACCGCCGTCGGGGTAACCGAACGGCGTGCGGCCAAATGCAGCCGCAGTCGGGGGGAGACGCCGACGCCCTCGTAAGCGCGGAGGAGCTCGCGCAGGAGGACTACGAGTCCTTGGGCTGGGAGTTCTGCATGGGGACCTATTGGGCGCGACCGCGACGGCTGGGCCGGTGCCGTCTCTGCTCGGCCCTCGAAGACTGGAAAGTCATGAAGATAGAGTGGGCCGAGGAGATGTCGACGGCCGAGATGGCCCGCTACGGGCAAGCGCGGGGCGCGAATCCCAGGTGCCCTGCGGCGCGGAGGGTCAAGGGGGGGGGGGGGGGGCTGTGCGTTTACACCTGCTCCATGTGCGTGGCCAAGCACGAAGACATCGACGAGCGCGATGCGGTCGCGGAGGCGGCGAGGCGCAACATGGGCGCTCGCTCAATCCAGCACTCGCGTGACCGTGTGGCCAAGTTCCAGGAGTCCTTCAACGTGCTCAAATACAGCCTGGATGTGCTGGTGGGCAGCGCCCTGTCGGAGGATGGAGAGTTGGCCCTGCGGCGCGCCGCGGTGGGCGTGGGCGCGGGTATTGGCCCGGCCAGCGAGGGTGCGTCACCTGCCGCGGAGACGGTTGCAGAGGAGGTGGGGCGCCCGATGGCGGTGGCGGAGGTATGGGGGCAGCCCCGCGCGCCTCCGCCGCCTGCCGAGGGGGCCGACTGGGGGATGAAGGCGACGCCGCGCTCCGAAGCCTCGGCGGACCGCGAGCTTGCGTCAGAGGAGCCCAGCGTTCGTGACGTGAAGCTGGTGGAGGACGTCGCCGACGTCCCATCCCCCTTCAGGATGGGCTGCTCCAGGAAGACGCTCAAGCTCTTGGCGAGGTGCTGCGGCGTAGTGCGGGGTGTGGCCCTGCGGACGCACGTGAAGGGCGCCCTCGGGGCCATCCTCGTGAAGAAGGGCGACGTGATCCGCGCGGTGAGCTGCGCGAAGGGCACGGGAGCCTGGTTCGAGTAGCTGGGCGCAGCGGCAGAGGGGCGCCGCGTGGTGAGAGCTGAAATCGAAGCGGAGGGCGCTGCATGCACGGTCGAGGAAGGGAAGCAGGGCCTGCTAGAGGCGCGCGAACGTGTGGATGCGCACTCGGGCAACCAGCGGGCGGCGATGCCGCTGTGCAAGAGGCCCACCGAAAAATGGCCGACTACTCCGACCAGATCTTCTCTGACGACCAGTTCACGATGAACATGTGTTATACATGCTAGGCAAGCAAGACATGCGGTAACCCCCAAGGCTGCAGGGCCGTCATCCGCGCGGACCGCTGGACACAGCTCCTCGCCCTTGAGGAAGAGGCGGCAGGCCGCTGTCGCCAGCGATGGTACTGCCATTGCGGGGCCTGGTACCTGACGACCTACGGTGCGTGCGTCGAGATGATCGACCAGACAGTCCAGCTACCGAGCAACCGAAGGCGTGGTACCTGCAGGCTTACTTCCCCGAGGAGGACATCAGAGACCTGGCGGCGCTCCTGCGGGCGGACAAGCTCAAGGAGGAGAGCGCCGTGGCGCTCAATCCCACGGACCTTCTGCAGTATCTGCCCAAGGCGGGCCCCCCGGCGCTTGGCGCGGTGTTCAAGCAGTATGCGCCCGAGGAAAAGCTGTGTGCGTGGGGTGGTGGTGGTGGTGGTGGTGGTGGTGGTGGTGGTGTGTGTGTGTGTGTGTGTGTGTGTGTGTGTGTGTGTGTGTATGGGTGTGTGTGTGTGTGTGGTGGTGGTGGTGGTGGTGGTGGTGGTGGGCACTGGGCGCTGATGGGCAACCTCGCGTCGGAAGACCTGCCCGACTTCAACTGGTGCGACCTCTATGCGCAGATTGCATGGGGACTCAATGGCCCTGCATGGGCAGGCTGCAGCAAGAAGGCCAGGAACAGGAAGAAGCGCGAGAAGATCGTCGAGGCTAGGGCCGCTGTGCTGAACTACGAGCAGCGTCGCAAGCTGGCCGTCAGCAGCATTGCTGGCGGTGGGGGCGCGGGGGCAGCCCCGAGTGCTCCCTCCGCCGGCGGGCCGCATTCGGACCTGAGGATGGATGCTGCAGGGGGCGAGGGCCCGCCGCCGCCGCCCGCGCTTGTTGCGCTGGCCAACGTGGAGGTGCCGCCGCCGCCGCCTGTGGGCCCACCGCCAGACATCGAGTCTGAGCTGTTTGGTCCCGCGGTGGCGGGCATTCAGTGGGGCGGGATGGCGCGTGCGCTCCCGTCCGGGGCCCTCCTGGGAATGACTGACTGGCTCTGAAGCCCCAGGGGCCTCAAGGCCAGAATGAGTGAGTGTCTGCGTGCCTGCTCAGGCTTTGTGGACCACCTCAGCGCCGCGCCAACTTCAGAAAGCATTATGGCGTGCCAGCTCGTGGCTGGCTGAGGCACTACTGTTGCCTCTCGCCTGTGCCCCCCGCGCCATTCTGTGGTGCTGGGGCCGCCCCGAGGGCCGAGGGCCTCTAGCATCGCGCCCGTGTTGCCCTCGGTACTCGTTTTGGCTTGCCCCACCCTGTTTCTCGCTGGAGGCTTTTGCCGCCTGGGGCCTCCAGGGCTTCGAGGGTCGGGCGGTGCTGGGGCGGCCCCGCGTGCTGTTTGTCCTGTGTTGTTTTGGGCCAGGTTTGTCTTGATGCTCGTCCTGTGGTTGTTTTGAGCCATGTCTGTCTTGATGCATCTTGGCTGCCGCGCGGCCAAGTCGCCAGTCCGCGGTGCGCGCCCCGCCTTGCTTTGCGCCCCGCATGGCGCATGTCTCATTGTAGGATAATGAGGCAGCCGCAGGACGCTCGCCCCCACGTGGTCGAGCCGTGGTGGTGTGGCGCACGTGGCCGCAGGTCGTAGTAGAAGAAGAAGAAGTAGTAGTAGTAGTAGTAGTAGTAGTAGTAGTAGCAGTAGTAGTAGTAGTAGTAGTAGTAGTAGTAGTAGTAGTAGTAGTCGTAGTCGTAATAGTAGTGGTAGTAGTAGTAGTGTAGTAGTAGTAGTAGTAGTAGTAGTAGTAGTAGTAGTAGTAGTAGTAGTAGTAGTGGTAGTAGTAGTAGTAGTAGTAGTAGTAGGAGTCGTAGTAGTCGTAGTAGTAGTAGTAGTGGTAGTAGTAAGTAGTAGTAGTCGTCAAGTAGTAGTAGTAGTTGTAGTAGTGGTAGTAGTAGTAGTCGTTAAGTGTAGTTACGTAGTAGTAGTAGTAGTCGTAGTAGTAGAGTTCGTCGTTTTTAGAGATAGGAGAGTAAGTAGTAGTATTAGTAGTCAGTAGTAGTAGTAGTTAGGTAGTAGTTTAGTAGTAGTGTAGTAGTAGTAGTAGTAGTAGTAGTAGTAGTAGTTAGTAGTAAGTATAGTCGTTAGTTAGTAGTAGTGGTAGTAGTAGGTAGTAGTAGAGTAGTAGTAGTAGGTAGTAGTAAGATTCGTTAGTAGTAGTAGTAGTAGAGGTAGTAGCAAGCAGTGTAGTAGTCGTAGTAGTTGTAGTAGTAGTAGTAGTAGTAGTAGTAGTAGTAGTAGCAGTCGTAGTATTAGTCGTACTAGTGATGGGCGTAGTGGAAGTGGATTTGGAAGTGGTAGTGGCAGTCTTAGTGGTAGTGGTAGTTTTAGTGGTAGTGGTAGAGGTAGTGGTGGTGGTAGTAGTAGTAGGTAGTAGTAGTAGTAGTAGTAGTAGTAGTAGTAGTAGTAGTAGTAGTAGTAGTAGTAGTAGTAGTAGCAGTAGTAGTAGTAGTAGTAGTAGTAGTAGTGGTATTAGTAGTAGTAGTA